TATAGATGAGCTTCCCCCACAAATGCATGCTTTTAATTCTTAAAAAAGAACGGAAAAAGAAATATCTGACTTTAATGAGGGGGAAAAAAGAAACCACCTGGATTTAGCATCATGCATTTCCTTCTGTTGGAATTTCTTGGGAAGACTTTTGACCTCCTGTGGTAAAGCAGCTGTCACAGCCAGCAAGCATGTGGAATTCTGCTGTGTCCCAGCCCTATGCATTTCCGGGGTGGGGTTGTCTGTAAAAGAAGGGTGTGGTGGCTCCTGTCCTCTAACTGTATCTTCCTGGGTTCCAGGCCTTTCAGAGCACCAGGAATTCTGGGTTTGAACTACACATGCTGACAGATAATACCGCAGCCCTGGAAATCTTCCGCTGAGGTGGGAAGATACAGGTCTGATAGGGAGGCACGTCTGGCCAAGCTCAAAGTCCACCTTTGGAGGCAGATAGCACACAGCAGGAACCCTGGCAGGAGCCTCACCCCTCCCCAGGCCTCACACCTTCCTCCCAATCTCACTCTATCTAGTCAGTCTTGGAATCTGAGAGCATGCCTTCCCCTAACAGGCACTCTTGCACGTACCTTGCACATTGTGGATAGATGCGTGGGACACACACACTCACACACACACACACACACACACACACACACACACACACACACGCACACACGTAAACTCCTCAATCTGGGGCTGGGTTAGTTCTCCACCTCATCCCATGGAGGCAGCAGTGAGCAGCGCTGGTCATGTGACCTTTGTTGCCCTTACCAGCATGTTCTGTCCGGGTGTATCTGCTTGCTGGAACTGCAGACACTGCTTCAGATGCCATCTGATGGCTCTGCAGGAAGCTGGCCACTACAGCAAAAGGCCTGGGAGTAAGATCGAAATGTCTCTAGTGTCGACTTCTGTTTCTGTAATTACTAGGCTGAAACTCCCTTACCTCTAGCATTACGAGGGGAAAGGACAGCTCAGGTTCTCAAGAAACCAGGATTAGGACTGAGCCTTAGCTTGTCTCTTAAGACTGAGCAGAGCGGCGAAGACACAGAAGGACTGGTTGGACATGGGGAGCTGGGATGAGACGGGAGATCTTAAGTCATAACTAGAGGAGAATTTGAAGACTAGCCTGGAGAAGGTGTGTCTGTGACATAGAGCAGAGAGGCCCTGGAGGAAGACCACAGCAGTCACGTGACAGGGTGACCCAGGCTGTAGGGCAGAAGGCAGGGCTGCTAGGAAGACAGGCTATGTCTACATGAATCACAGTGGGTAAGGAAGGCCAAATGGGGTATGGGTGGCCATCAGTCTAAGTGACGTCAGGCGGTCCAGAAATAAGGAGTGTGCCTGGGCTACTGTGAGGAGTAGGGCTATGTTTCCATGACTTCAGGTAGTTCATTAACATTACAAAGGGCACATAAGTTTCTGCTCTGGGCTGGGCCTCTCTCCCCATGCTCTGTTCTCACTTCCTAGAATTTAGTGAAGTCTGAGATGGGAACTAATGTTGTTCTGACATGGCAGAAGGGCTGTGGAATGTCCTGGAAACACACAGAGTACTCTGTGGAAAGATCTAGCACTATTTGGCCTTGTGGGCTGTGGAGTGCGGGGGCTAGGAGGAGGTAGGAGGGTGGGCAGTGCCAATGGGCACATCTGGACATTCCCTGGTGTCCCTCAGGATGCAGTTTATCAGGGGGAAACTGAGTCACTTGTAGGTTCGTCACCTGTCCTACTCATGATGTCTAGATCCATGGCCAGAAACTCTGTCCTGCAGCTGGCCAAGTTCAAGGCCTGTGCTTTATATACTTGGTTTGTATTAGCACTTATGTATTAGCTTGAAACTTTGTGATTTAAAACCAACTCACACCATATAAATGACTTGGGTCCTGTTACAGTAATGTGTTTTCTTCCATGTGACAAAGTCTCAGAGAGTCCTAGGTCAACTGTAGCTACCTTGAGCACACCTAGGGTCCCTTGCTATATATTGCCTCCACTTCAGCCTGGTCTTTTGGGCATTTGAGAGATGCCTGAAACAAGGAACAAGGTGGGAGTGACTGTATGTCAAGCCATAGGACTTAGGTGCCTATAAAGAATGTTCTCTTGGGTGGCCCAGCAGGGTCAAGGGCAAGCTCATGAGCCAGGCAAGTGAGGTTGTAGGGAAGAGCAACCTTTTCATGCATTGCTAGAAATACCTTGTTGTTCCGGGTGGTGGTGGTGCACGCCTTTAATCCCAGCACTCAGGAGGCAGAGGCAGGTGGATCTCTGTGAGTTCGAGACCAGCCTGGTCTACAAGAGCTAGTTCCAGGACAGCCTCCAAAGCCACAGAGAAACCCTGTCTCGGGGGAGGGGGGGAAGAAAAAGAAAAAAGAAACAAAAGAAATACCTTGTTGCATTTTTCTAGATGGCATCAAAGATTCCCTTTGGCACAGACCTGATAGACCATGGGGAAATGCCAGTGAATCCATTCGGGAAAGTGAAGCACAGCAGAGAGAGGGCAGCACAGAAGAGTGCAGAAATGAGGTTGGTGACAGTTCTGCATTCCGGCTCTCCAGCTCAATGTCACAGGCTGTCCAATGCATGTGTCAAGTGCCACAGACTGCCTAACCTGCTGTGAGCACCCAGTGTAGTGGGTGATCTGGAAAGACCCAGTCCCCACCCATGGCGTTCCATCATCCTGCCCAATGCCCATCTGGACACAGGCAACTCACAATGCAGGGGTGCAGCTGCAGGCACCAGCAGCCCCGCCCTGAACCAAGCCCCGCCCTGAACTGGGACAGTATAGAAGCTGTGCAGGGTCCAGCGCAGGTGGCAGAGTACTAACTGTGTGGGGACGGGAGGGGGCTCCTGGCATTTAGCCAGAGGTTCCTGACCTCTTTCTGCCATTCTAAATCACTGTATTTACAGTCCTCAAAGAGCAACCTTGGAGTCTCAGCCCAATTTTAATGGAGATAGAGACATATTTTTTTTTTTTTGGTTTTTCGAGACAGGGTTTCTCTGTATTGTTTTGGAGGCTGTCAGTCCAGCCCGGCCTTGAACTCACAGAGATCCGCCTGTCTCTGCCTCCCGAGTGCTGGGATTAAAGGCGTGCACCACCACCGCCCGGCTGATAGAGACATATTTAAAAATCTCAGATTAATGAGATGTTCTTCTCTGTCTAAAGGTTCAGTAAAACTTTTACCTATGAAAAGGGATGATGTTCTCCACATATATAAAACAGGCTCCTAAAAACAGGCATACCCACATAGCTTCTGTAACTGAAGTTACAGATGGTTGTTAGCTGCCATGGGGGTACTGGGAACCAAAACTAGGTCCCATGGACGATGCTCTTAACCTCTAAGCCATCTCTCCAGCCCCTATTTGAGGGTGTTTAAGCATAGTGACCTTGTAGGTAAAGATGTTGCCTCAGACCCAGCATCTCTAGGGGGAGGCAGGGAACCACCTGCTGCCTCAGTGGTTTGTGGGCTGCAGGGGAAAAGGTGCTTTCTCTGTGGTTGGAATGAGGACTACTAGCCTAAGGCCAGCATCCAAGCAGTGAGTGTCTTGTGCCCCAGTGCCTCGCCATTAGCAGAGCTGGAGGAGAAGATAAGGCGGCACACACAGCAGATCCGTGCTCGAAACTTCCTGGGCACCAACCCACTGCAAGACATGAAGATGGCCAACCAAGACTTGGAAACTGTGAGTATCTGTTGCCCTGTTTGATAATGTCTCACTAATGGAAGGGGATTCTACATCACCACAGAGCAGATACCCTGTAACAATGTGGGTTGCCTACCACACATGTATTAGCGGTCTCCAGAAAAATATCCTGGCCGTATTGTTAGCCTTCAGCTGCACTAGGTATAATAGGATGTATATGCTAGCTTAGGGCCTCTGGGACAGAACTGGTCCATTCCACAAGTCTGTGTAGTCTCTGTTCAAGACCCAAAGACAAGGCCGAAGCCCTGTTCCAGCTGAAATGGAGCTGCTGCTTAGAGACGGCTCATTGCTGTTGTCTGGGAAGAGAAGAGTGGGCCAAATCCACAGAGATCTGAATGGCCACGCCCCTGAGCTCCTAAAGAGAGCAAATTGTGCCCCTAAACTCTTCCCAGACTCAAGTCTAACCACTTTCCAACCTTGTGCCTCAATGTCCCTGCTTGTGAGAGAATCACAGAGTAGAGGCCCTTCCTGCCCTCAGAGGAAGCTGGTGGAAGGAAAAAGGTTTTGTGATAGTGGTACTTAGGTGTCCATGACCCCACCACTACTTAGTTCCAGGTTAATCTGCCATTGAGTCAAGACCCAGTTTTCTCCACAACCTATCTGTGACTCCGTCTCTGTCCTGTCCAGATGGACAAAGGTAAACCCAAAGCCACCATGAGCCTTCCACATTAGCCCATCACATTTGACCCAGATTAATTCTCACCCCACCACAGCACAAAGAAGCAAAACTGTTGCTACCATTCTAGACAGAAAAAGTAGGGGCAAAACAGCTTTGAGGCGAAAGCCCTGGATGCCCAGTAACAAACAGTTGCAAGGTGTCTGCAGCACTGGGCTCTGGCCTCCCAGAGATGCCACACCCCCAGGTCTTCAGTCACTGTTATCTGACCTTTGGCATAACAGCTGAGTCTGTACCCTAACACAGCAAAGTTTTGTAAGAAGAAAGTCCCTGGCGGTACAGTATTAGGAGAGAAAACACCAACCAGTTATGAGAGTCACTCTACAGAAGCCTAAAACACAAGAATGCAAACTCAGACCAAATCCCAGCATGGATTTGGTACCAAGTCCCACTCCTAGCAGAGAGGCTATTGACAAAGAATTATAGGTGTGTGAGGGTGCCCTAGTAGTCTACGCAGTAGTAACTTGCTGTCCTAAGGACAGATAATCTCATTGCTAGGAGGATCGTGGAGACTGGGTTAAGTGGTATAAATTCTACTCTGTCTTTTGAAAATGCTGCCTGTCCTGTCTGTCTAACTTAAGCCTTCTTGTATTCTCCCCAAAGGCCAAGAAACTTCAGGAGGAATTAAGGAAATTGAAACTGGAGATGACCTTGAACAAAGAGCATTCATTTGCAACTTTCCTTGGAAACCTTTCGCTTCACCCACCAGCATCACAGCCTCAAAATATATTTTTTAACACAAAATACTAGGAAAGTGGTGTTGTCAGCAGGGATGACAAAGTACCTCCCACAGTGAGGAGCTGCTCTCCCCTGTGTGGTATGGGGAGGGGCAGGAGGACGACTAGTGGGTCTTCAGCTGCCCCTCAGGCGGCAGCTTTGGACAGGCCTGACTCTCTTCTGAGGCTGTAGGTTCAACTGCATTAAAAGGAAGAATGCTGTAAGCATGCGTAACTGTTCTCTTCAGTCACTGTTTCCACCATCCAGTGGACAGGGGCCTTCAGCCAAAGCCACAAAGGTGTCCCTGATTCTGTTGACCCCTGGGAAGGGGAGGCTGCCGGCCTGACTTCTGCAGCTCTATCTGTTCAAAGCAAAGTGTCCTTTGGGCTCCGCCCTTTGTCTGTGCAGGGACAGTGACACCTAGCCCCAGGCATGACTCCACCCTGTAGGAGCCTTGGGCAGCCCAGTACCACCAAAGTTAAAACCTCCTCCCATCCACCCCTGTAATCCTTCTGCCACACCTTCAGGGGCTGCATGGCAGGTTCCAGCTCTGGATGTGACTAAATTCAGGGCTTTTTCTTCAGGATGTTGGGAGCAGACATAGAACTATTCAGACTTTCTGTTTCCTCTTGTGTCAGTTCTGGTTAACAGGGTCCCCTTCTGAAACAAAAGAATTTGAAAACAAGTTTGAAGGGTTAGAGAGATGGTGGCTCAGTGAATAAGTATTGGCTGCTCTTCCAGAGTGGCCTTACAGCAGCTCACAATCATCTGTAACTCCAGCTCCAGAGGATCTGACACCCCCTTATGGCCTCCATGGGCACAAGGCATATACATGGTGCACAAACATACATGTAGGCAACACACACACACAAAATAAAGTAATAAAAAAAACTTGGAAAGAAGTTCAAAGATCATTATATTAGAGTTTGAGAAAAAAACAAAGCTGGAAACCCCAGGAGTTTCTGGCACAAGGAAAGGGATAAGAAAGTCATCTCATAAAATAATTGTGTGTGTGTATGTGTGTGTGAGTGCAGGAAATACATGGAGGTCAAAGGACAATCTGAGGAAGTCAGTTCTCTTTCTCCATCATGTGGGTTCCTAGGGAATGGAGTCCAGGTCATCAGGCTTTACTGGCAAAGTCATCTTGCTAGCCCTTAAACCAGTGGTAATCAGCTGTGAGCAGCTGTGTGGGGATGGGGGGGGCTTCAGAGAAGAGTGAGAATGACCTATGGGTTAGGGCAAGCAGGCTTAGGAGTTTGTCTGACTTTCAAAAAAAGAGAGGGAGGAGGCCAGAGAGATGGCTCAGCTGTAACCACGCTTGCTGACAACCCTGATGGCCCGACTTCAGTCCCCAGAGCCCACACGGTAGGAAAGAGCCATGGCATACACTGGAACACACACATGCACACACACAGATTTTAAATTTTAATTAACAGGGGCTGGGTGTGAGTGGTGGTGCACAACTTTGATCATAGCACTCAGGAGACAGTGGATCTCTGAGTTTTATGTCTGCCTTGGTGTAAAGAGCAAGTGAAACCCTGTCTCAAAAAAGAAAGGAGAAAAGGAAAAGAGATAGACAAGTTACACTTCCAGAGTTAGAACTCAGAAAAAGACAGGCTTAGCAGCAAAGATCTCTAAGCAACTGCAATGAGGGAGGGGTTTCTGGCTGGTACAGTTTGCATTCTTATTACAGAGATTTTCCTCCATTGATTGACAGGCCAGGTTGGGTTAACTCTGTAATCTCATGATCTTTTGGGCAGCATAGAACACCATGTCTTCACCTGGGGCCAGAGGTACAACTCAGATCTTATTCTTTTAACAGGAAACATTAAAAATAAAAGAAAAAGAGGGGTTGGTGGGAGGTCCTAGCCACCAAGCCTTAACAACCCAAGTTCAATTGCTGAAACCCAACTTCTTGTTTTTTTTGTTTGTTTTTGTTTATTTTGTTTTTTGAGATAGGGTTTTTCTGTATTGTTTTGGAGGCTGTCCTAGAACTCCCTCTGTAGACCAGGCTGGACTTGAACTCACAGAGATCCGCCTGCCTCTTCCTCCTGAGTGCTGGGATTAAAGGCATGAGCCACCAATGCCCGGCAAAGCCCAATTTCTTTCTTTTTCGTTTTTTTGAGACAGGGTTTCTCTGTGGCTTTGAAGCCCATCCTGGAACTCGCTCTGTAGACCAGGCTGGTCTTGAACTCATGGAGATTCGATGACTCTGCCTGCCTCCCAAGTGCTGGGATTACAGGTGTGTGCCACCACTGCCTGGCTAAAAAATAAGGTGGATATTTCTTTATGGTTTGTTTGCTTGGTTTTTTGAGGGTTTCTCTGTGGCTTTGGAGGCTGTCCTGGAACTAGCTCTTGTAGACCAGGCTGGCCTTGAACTCACAGAGATCCACCTGCCTCTGCCTCCCGAGTGCTAGGATTAAAGGCGTGAGCCACCAACACCCAGCTCCATATTTTTTTTAAAGATTTATTATGAATGCAACATCCTGCCTCCATGTCTGTCTGCACACCAGAAGAGGGCGCCAGATCTCATTATAGATGGTTGGGAGCCACCATGCAGTTTCTGGGAATTGAACTTAGGACCTCTGGAAGAGCAGCCAGTGCTCTTAACATCTGAGCCATCTCTCCAGCCCTCCAATTTCTTTTAACATCTTTTAAACCACATGAGGTGGTATACATCTGTAATCCCAGCACTCCTACAGATGAAGTAGAAGGTGGAGACAGGAGAATTACACAAACTCACAGGCCAGCTACTCTGAGGTATTGCTGTATATCAACAGAAACAAGAGACCCTGATGTACTCAACAAGGCAGAAAGCAAAAACTGACCCCTCCATTGTCTTCTGGATTCCATATGTGGGTCTACACTCATATACATAGGTGTGTGTGTGTGTGTGTGTGTGTGTGTGTGTGTGTGTGTGTGTGTGTGTAATATATGTCTTCAGCGACAGAGTTTCTCTGTGTAGCCCTGGCTGATCTGGAATCGCTCTGTAGATCAGACTTGTCTTGAACTTGCAGAGATCTGCCTGCCTCTGCTTCCTGCACGCTGGAATTAAAGGCATATGCCACCACTGCCTGGCTAACTTTTTAAATCAAAATAGTCATGCTTTCTCAAGCTTTCCCAAGCCCTGTTGCCTCTACCTTCCTCTCACAAGGCACAATAAATCAGAGTGTTAAAATGTTAATGAACCATGATTAAGGCTCATGTGTATATGACCTTCACATATGGCCTGGTTCCTTTGCCAGATAGAAACCTAAGACTTTCTGGGAATCTCACAAAGACCATAAAGTTTTGAAAGTAGCTCTTGTGACCTAGGGTTTACCTTATCTGCTGTTATCCTAGCCAGTGTACACCAGGAACCTTCTCATTCTTATTCACAGGGAAAAAAAAGGCTCCTTAGCAAGCCCTGAGACACAACTTCAGAAGCCACCAAATTCATATGTATGATTGTTGTAAAGACACTTCAGTGTGACTCTCTTACGAGGGCCACACCCATGCTCGGTTCAGTCTTAGCTTTTCCCTGGGTTTCTTTCCTTTCCCACACCTCACCCACTGTTTAAATGTTAAAATCTCCCCAACTCAGAGCTTCATAGGAAAATGAATCCCAGCTTCCCCTGAATGGGAGACCTCTGATCTCTGCTTGGAGTGGCAGCGTGGGGCCCGGCCTTGTTTCCAGACACTGCTCTGCCGGTACCGGCAGGCAGCTTCCACCCCCTCCCCGCCCCCACCCCTCCAAGGTCACACAGGATACTGCAATCTTAACCCAAAGTCCATACCCTTAGCCAGTGGTTTTCTGGTGAGTTCTTTTCCTAATCTTGAGACATTTCCTAATGGGAGAATGCCACAATTATCCTGATTTTTAGGGGGCAGGATCTCTTCAGAGCAGCCCTAGCAGGGTGGCCAGAAGGGAGTCAGTCCAGCTTCCAAAGCTCTGTGACCTGTGGGAGGTCCAGGAATTTCAGCTACAAAGACTCCGAGAGGCCTTGCCATGGAGGACGTCCAGGGAAGCGTGGCCTGCCCACAGTGCTCCCCCTCCCCCCAGGGAGCCTTGGCATACTCTACACAGCACCTGGCGCCCCACTCTACAGGACCTAGTGAGCCAGGCTCTAGGGCCTGTGTATCACTACCCTTATTCCGGTGTCTCCACCCAGACCAGGCCCTTGATTCTATCTCAGAAGCCTCGGCTCCGACCAAGCCAGGCCTTGTTAAAGGGACTGCCCAGCAGGCAGGGCCTGGTAAATCCAGAAAAAGGAAGCGGAGGCAGGCCCAGGTATGCTGGCGTGAGTGAGTGTGTGTGTGTTGTGCATCACCAGTTATCTGGCCAGGCAACCCTGGGACAGGCCTGTGGCTGTGGTAGCACCCTTCATGGTCATAGTTTGGGAACACTGTGAGTCTCCCCACTCGAGTATGGAGTGAGTCAGTGAGACTCAGAAGGGCAGTGCTCTGCCAGGACCTGCAAAGAAGTCATCCGCAAGATGGAGGCAGGCACCCGGCTAGTGGCAAGTAGGGGCCAGACATACGTGAATCTTGAAGCCAAGTCTAGACTCCAAAGGGGAAGCAGCTTGCTGCTGGCCTCCTTCCCGGTCCAGGTGACTGGGGGCTGGGATGAGGCTCTGAATGGCCCTGTGTTTAAATTGCAAATCCATCCCCTTGTTAACTGCTTACATATTCTACCAAACAGAGAACAGGTTTTTAAAAATGGCTTCCAAACACACATCAGAACTCACAGACCTGGCAGGCAGGCAGGCAGGCAGGCAGGCAGGCAGGCAGGCAGGCAGGCAGAGAAAGCAGCACAGGCGGCCGTGGCCCCTCCTCTCTACTCCCCAGCTCTGACCACCAGCAGCCCAGGAGCTTCCTGCCACGGGGTGAACCCCAGGTTCCCTATGTCCCTCGTGTCTGTGTCCCTCCAAGCCAATTCTGTCCCTTACCATGACTGAACTACTCTTGCTGACATCCGGAAACAATACGTTTGCAAGGTGTCCTCTGTCCTTACCCCACATCAGAGCTTGACAGTTAGTGGTCTTAATGCCATCCACCCCTTCCCTCCGTCTCCCGAGGGTTCCTCCACAAGGGCACGTGTGCTTACTCAAGTTGCTTTTTCCACTGCCCCTTCCCTCACAGACCCAGTTGCTCACAGCCAGTGGGTGTCCCCAGCTTGGGAGCTACTCAACTGGGGGAGGGGTCCTGACACGTTTTGTCCTTAGCAGGCAGCCCCAGTACTCAGGCACAGATGCTCAGTTGGTATCTGGGCTGAGCGAGTGGGCAGCCACCCACCAGTCATCCACCTGGGACTGGGCTGGGAATGGTTTCTGCAGCCACCAGTTTTGCTCCAAATTCTGCCGCACCCAACTCTGAAAAGGCGTGAGGATAACAGACGCTGGGGGGGGAGGACGGGACCGCGGGGGTGCTCCTCAACCAGACTCCGCCCAGGCTTTCTCAACTGCTCTGGAACTAGGGCCACGGCTTTAAAGCTAGATAGAGTGGCGCCAGAGGTGGCCTCGACTGTCCTCTGCGGCATCAATGGTAGCAGCCCCGAAGTAGGTCCCAGCGGGGCAGAACTCCATTCCCAAACTGAGATGGGCAAGGGCTCAGGAGACCGGTGGTTAGGGCCTCGCTTCCCTCCTGGTGCTACCAGTCAAGGCGATGTAAACCAGGCTTAGGGACCCGGGTCGCAGACGCCGTTGGTCACTGCAACGCAGCCCACCCTTAGGGAAAGTCAGTAACGGGTTCCGAATCCGGATCCAAAGTGCAAGTGCTTGCGGAAGCCGGGGGAGGTCTGGGGTGGCGGTCAGGCGTCGGCCAGGCGCCACCTCCCACTCATGGCCAGCCTACCCCCGCAGGCAGGCTCGGCTGCGAGCGCCTGGAAGCCTGGCTCTTGCTCTCCGGAGGCGGCTTTTTGTAATGTACGCTAGGCGAGGCACGCTGAGACGCCTAATCCTGGGAGACCCAAGAGACTGATTCTAGGTCTGGTTGTTATAATCCTCCCTAACGCTAGTGCTGGCCACCCCCACGCTCTGAAAGGACCTCAAACTGGCCCGAGCCCTATAGTAGCCCAGGAGGCGTCGAACACACCTGGGTAACCCAGTGCCAGGTCGCCCCTGTGTTCAGGGCGACACTAGGCCTCTTGCAAGAGTTCCACTGGTGTCCTTCGGCACCCTGAGTCTCCTCGGCCAGGACTGACTCGCTTCAAACACGCGCCCACAGACTTTCCCAAGTACCGAGTGGACCTAGGAGTCGTGCGTAGGAGACGCTGCCAGGGTACACTGGCACAGACTAATAGGCAGGGGACCCCAGGGTGCATGGGGGAAGGGCCCCAGGCTGCGCCGGGTTCAGGGAGTGGCCCCGGGACAGGATCAGGAAGGAGGTGGGGCCCGGGGTGGGACCCAGAGCAGCAGAGTGGGGGAAGGGCCTGGGCCCAAGGAGTGTCCCTGCCACCCCTCGGTTCCTGGCAGGGCCTCCTAGGGGGCATTCCTAGCCAGCGTGGCGGCGAGATTAACGAACCCTCCTCTTCGCCCGGTGGGGCCCCGCAATGCGTTGCCTGCCCAGCTCTGAGAGCCGGTTGCGGGGCGCACGCTGCGGGCGGAACGCCTCACGCCCTCCGGCTCCCGGGATCGCTGCCCGCGGCCGCGCGCCCCAGCCCAGCTCCGCGGCGGCGGCCGGCGGAGAGAGCTTTGTGACGTCAGGCGGCGTCACGCGGGGCTGACCCGGCGGCGGCGGCGGCGGCGGCGGCGGTGGCGGGCGGGCGGGGGCGGCCTCCGGAGGCGGCGAGAGCATGGAGCCGCGGGCCGGCTGCCGGTTACCGGTGCGGGTGGAACAGGTCGTCAACGGCGCGCTGGTGGTCACCGTGAGCTGTGGCGAGCGCAGCTTCGCTGGAATCCTGCTGGATTGCACGAAAAAGTGAGCGGGGCAGGGTCGCGGGCCCGGGACTCCTCGGAATCCTCCGGGACACTCCCCCGCCGAATCAAGGTTCCGATGCGGGTTCTGGGCAGAGGAGCAAAGCCCGGCGCCCGCTTTCAGTTTTTCCCGGGCCGGGGTTTCGAGGCGCGCCAGCTGGCCGCCGGTCTGGGTGCGAAAGTGGCTCTCTCCCAAAGTCGCGGTGACTTTCGGGGCTGGAGAGCATGCGGCCCCGCAGAGGGGTTGCGGGAGCCGGCCGGGACTCACGGGAAGCATTGCCTGAAACTCCGCACATCTGCCATAATTAACACACTTTTCTTTGTTCAGAAGCACTGTTGATTCGACTGTTTGCAGAATTGTGATTCGTTTAAGGGGGTCAGTTACGCGGTGGCCCCACCTGTCACAAAAGGAAGAAGCCCTGTCTCTGTCGTGGGTCCCGAGGCTTGTAGGAGTGGCTGGTGGGGACCAACTGCGACGATCGCGGGGTGTAGAAACACTGCTGTGGGCGAGGTACCTCGCGGGGGAGTGGAAGATACAAGTTACAGGACCAGTGCCTCTGCTGGAGGGGCGCATTGGGCTCAGCTCCTGAGACCACCTGTGCACCCCTTGCAGGGATTCCTGAGGCGCAGAGCAGCCACCTGAACCCGGAGTCACATGGCAGTGCGCTGTCACTGCCGGATAAATGATTAGGCATTAATCAGGCTGTGACTCTTCTGCTCCAGCCGGGCTTTATTCTGGAATTGGGAACAGAGAAAGGCTCTGCTTTCAAAGATCCAACTTTTTCCTTTCCGAAAGCCCAGATTTTCCAGGGTTCCCAGCACAGAGTAGAGCCCTTCCTCCTTTGACAGTTACCCTGCTGACATGTCTTCATTAGATGTGCCAGAAGCCATTTATGCACAAGTCATGTGACTTAACATATGGCCTCCCGTGTGACTGGTGCCCCCTCTCTTGTTGGTTAGCACAGGGTGTGCCTATGTGATGGGGTGACATTCAGGGGCTGCAGAATAGCCACCTGAAAGCGGCTAGTGAAGGCCCTCCCCCACCCTGCTGATGACTGCCCTGTCTTCCCTAGGCAGGTCTGGCTCAGTCCTGAGCCTGCAGGGCTGCACCCCTGCTCTACCTGTGCTGCCTGCTCTGGCCTCTCTCCCTAGAGAGTGTCTGCAGCTGAGGACCGGCGTTTCCCCAGCTCTTCAGGCTCCAGTGCTCAGAATAAGATAGACCAAGGGAGTCCTAGCTTGTGACTGAGACTGTATAGAAATAATGGGATCCCTGCCCTGAGGCCCGTGGTTAACCTGATTTACAGAAGCTGCTGCTGGGTCCTGAGCATGGGAACTGGCGCATAGGGTACATGGGTGTCTGTGCCCCACAGACTACCATAACCAGAGCCCCTTGGAGCCAGGAGCTCAGCGTCAGTGGTCACAGCTCTTCTCTGCAGTGGCTTCAGTTGCGGCTGTGCCCTTGCAGAGAATCTGAAGATTAGAGCTGCCATTCCCTGCCCCTCCAGCCTTCCAAGGCTTGGCCTTGAAACTATTCCTCCATCTCCCCCACCCATAACCTTTCCTGCAGGCCACCCCTGGTCTCTGTTTCCAGTGTTCTAGTCGTAGTATTGTGAGTTTCAAAGCTAATATTTACAGCCCTGCTTGTCAGGCAGGACCTAATACAGCTTAGGAGCTCTGAGTGTTAGGGGCAGCAAGGTCTGCTTTCAGCCTACAGGGTCCACATGCTGACAGTTTCTCCTCAGCATCCAGTACCTGTTCATGCTGCTATGGGGGCCCAAGGCCTTGGATGTGAGCCAGGGAAGAGCTCCCAAGTCCTGTTTCCTCCCACCTCAGGGGAGACTTTGGGGCTCAAAGCACCAAGTGGATCAACATTCCTGGAGTACTGGTGGGCTTTATAGGCATCAGAGCTCCTATAGTTAGGATACAGACCTGGTGGCCTGGTTGTCCTTTATGGTTCCTGATCACTGTCTGTCCCTCCTGCTAGATTGGAAGTGTCACCCAGATGGCTCCATTCACATAAGCTCCTGGGTGGAAGGGGCTGAGACGGGATCCAGCCACCACTGGTGTTCATCATGGAGTTAGGCTGAAATAATTTTTCTCTTTTGATTCCCTTCCCTGTCTACAGATGGCTGGGGAGCTCTGAGGGGGTCTTGCCTGCAAGCCACCTGGTACAGTGCCAAGTATCACTTCCCACTTATAGCCTGAATCTGCTGCCTGGCAGTAGAGCATCCTGAAGCAAGTTCCCTGCTGCTCTGGGTACCTGTGCATTCCTGTACATTCACTGAGCAGCTACACTGTGCCAGGGAGTGGGCGGAGCCTCTGCCAAGATACCTCTGTGATCCCTACTTACAAATTTGAGGATCCCTTCCAAAATGTGCTGACTCAAGTCATTCATGAAGGGGTGGGGTTGACACATAGAGGTTTGTCTCTTATTGAGCACCTCAGGTGAGGTCACCCTGGCTGAAGGGTGGCCTGCAGACAGCAAAGGCTCACTGGTGCAGGACTTCTCTCATCTGAGCTGTTGATTCTTAAATGTCACCACAACCCCTGAGCCCATCTGCTGGGGTGATCATCATGGCATCCTCTGTGACCAAGACCACAGCCACTGCCTGTCACCAGGCTAAAGAGCATCAAGTTCTCTCCTGGAAGGCTCAGCTGCTGATGGGTATTCATGGGATTATATGATAGGCACAGAGGTCACAATAGCACTCCGGTGTCCTCTCTGCCCTCAAGGATTTGGAAGGGCAGCTGGTGTGCTGGGGGCCTGGCTGGCATGCTGGTCTTGGAGGCTTTACCAATGAGATGTAGGCTGACTGAATGGGCAGTGGGGTGGGCCTGACCTGAACTTCTAGGGAAGCCTTAGGCTTTAGGAACTGTATTGGTGCGAATAAGTCTTTGATTATGCAGGATGCATGGTCCTCAGCCATTCTCCCTTGGAAATCTGGGGTCAGTGCCCAAGGATGTGGTGCAGGCCCAATTGTATGCTCTGGAGCAGGGTCTCCTCTGGTGTCCAGACTCTGACTTATCTTGAAAACCTACTCACCTTGACTCCCAGAGCAGAAGACCCCTGGAAGTCTCTGCGCAGCCTACTGTTTCCTATAAGACCTTCCATCTGTAGCCTTACTGCTCCCTGGTTGTTTGCTGAGCCTCAGAAAGGCTGTGGGGAGGGGGGGTTTCTAAACTAAGCAAGCCCTGGTGAACAGCCCAAGGTGGGGCCTTGGGTGTTTGGACTTGGGCCTTCCTGGGGCTTCAGGCTCCTGGCAACATAGCTATGTGGAGAAGTTTCCGCAGGCTCCCGCCCAACTTTGCACATCCGCATGCCTCTGATCCAGGAGCCTGTTGACTCAACCCTCAGGCAGTGGCAGGATGGCCTCTGCCACCACAGACTCAGGGAGGAAGGTCCCAGACAGCCATGGGGGGCTGGGGGTTGCCACTTGGGCGCCAGCAGCCCCATGAGTCCTAGGTCTGCCTGCGGATCTGGGAAGCCGGATGGAGACAGCTGTAAGCAGGGGCAGCCCCGAGTTCTGGCAGTTAGCCAGAACTGTATTTCTTACTGTTCATGGGCTGGCCTTAGCCAGGCTACTCTGGGTTAGTGACTGAGCCATACCCACAGGTGAGTCCCCAAGGACATGATCTGGTCCCTGGTGACTTGCTGAGGACTTTGGGCCAGGCCCTATGCTCTCAGGACTGTGTCCTCATCAGAACACCATGCAGAACAGGAGAGCCTCAGTATCCCTGGGGGCCCTATTCCCTTTGTTAGTACTGCCTTTGCTTTGGGATATGGCCCCTCCTATAACCTCCTGGGCTTCACCCTGCTCAGTTTCCCCATCTTTTCCTGAAATCGGAGGTTCTTTGCTCTGCCTCTGAGTTCCCCAGAGACGCTATGCTTCTAGGAGATAACTGGCTCCTATCCTGGTGAGTCATCCCGCAGTCTCCAGGCACCTCTCCTACATACCCACCCTCTATCCAAAGTTAGCCACCCCCAAGGCTGCGCCCATTCAACAGGCCCTCTTCATCCACTGTGAACCCTAACAGGTTCCTCTCATTGCCACAGCCTGTAGAACTTCCTGTGGGCTTCTGTCCTTGAGACTGGCCAGCTTGGGCCACAGCCTGGCCTTGCTGGGGTTGCCAAGCCTTGGGAGCCACAGGCTGTAGCACACGCCCCCTCCACGGGCCCCAGGCCAGGTCACAGTTTGTCCACTTTGTTTTTCCCTGTGCCATGGCCTTCTCCATGCTTGGAGGTAATGGATCCAGCATCACAGGACTGGGCAGCTGGGACATGTTTGCAGTCCCGTCACCTCATTGTCTTATCTGTGAAGAGGGACTGTCACTGCTGGTCATTGCATGGAACTAGTGAGGGCCACGGGCTCTGTTGACTGTCTAGAGGCTGGAAGCACTAAAGCAGGGGCCTCGAGCTCCGTGGCCTCCCAAAGTTTAGCAGTTGGCCTCAACTACTTTCATTGGTTTCTAGGGGAAGGTCATCAGCCAGCCTGCCTTGACCTAGGGTGAGCTGTTCTGATGTTTACCCACCAGGCGAGCCTTGGGTGTGGCTGGAGCAGGGGCAGGGCAGCAGCTCTAGGAGGGAAGAGTGGCCGCCTGCTGCCAGGGCCCTGTCATTTCTGAGGAGAATCTGGCCCCGGACTCTGGGAAAGGACCGGCTCCAGCCTGTGGTGGTGCTTGAGGGCTCGGACCCATGTCAGGGACCTGGGTTTGCAGCCAAGAACTGGGTGTCTATCTTCAGCATGCAGAGTCTGCCTAGGCTTCTGGAGCTGTAGCAAGCAGACCCGCTGGATCCCCCTCTGCTACAGTGCCCGTCCAGCACAAGGAGGCTGGAGGGATGGACAGAGATGAGGAGGAGCCAGAGGGAATGCCCGCTTCATGCCCTAGGTGACCGTGGAAGCAGGCAGGGAAGTGGACTTTAGACAGTAACTCTCCGTCCCTGGTCCTTTGTCTGTCCTGCCTCCCAAAACGGCCACTTGCCATTCCTTCCTGTATCCTATGGCCTCCTCTAGTTGTTAGGTGTATCTCGGCAGTTCCCAGTTCCTGGGATCATCTTGCCCTCTGCTCCCTTCCCCAGGACCTGGAAGTATGTTCTTCTCACAGGAATGCTGGTGCTACCCGGGGCAGGTATTCCAGCTTCCCCCTTCTTCCAACATCCTCATTAGAACCCCCCCCCCCGTGTGTTTGGGGGGTGACAGGTTGGCCGATGAGTGTTTTCTAGGGGATTGAAGTAGAGGTCAGTTGTGAGACTTTGGAAGGTTACAGAGCCCAAAGGTTCTACTTTGGCACCTCTGGCCTCTAGGCAGCAGAAGTTGTGGCTGTGACTCTGGCTCCCACCCTGCACATATGTGTTGAACACATTTGGGACCAGGATGCTCCATAAGCCATTCTTTGGGTCAGGAGGCCAGCCTGGGGATCCCCAGCAAGCCCAGCCCCTAGTTCTCTTAAAGGAAAGGACAGCTGAGGTACATGCACGAGGGCCTGGGTTTTGTGGCTTCTGGCCAAGGGGCAGGTGGGCTCCCTCTCAGGCCACTACCTGCCTCAGGGTACAGATGTTCTTCTCAGTCTTCTAGAAGCATGGCGGCCTTCAAACCACATGTCACAGGACATGTGGGGGCGTGGGTACCCGTTTAATGTCAACCTTTACCTATTTAAGGTTAATCTACCACTTTGGATCTAGATAGAGATAGCTTCCCAGGCTAAGAGCTTATTAGGTGACAGGTGCTGGGCGTAGCTAGAACCCTCACCATTCTCACTCTGATTTTCCTCTCTACCAGGTCTGGCCTCTTTGGCCTGTCTCCCTCTACTCTGCTGCCTCTGGCTGACAACCCCTCTGTCATCAGCTGTCATGGCCAGGTGCCCGAGGAGGGAACTGGAGAAGTAATGCAGCTGGGAACAGGACCTCTGCCTCCTCACCACAAAGACCAGTCCCCCGAGAAGGATCCGCCTCCCACGACAGCTGGGCCCGAGCCTCCCCCACCACTCATACCTCCTCTGCCTGCTGGGAACTTGCCTCCCTTTCCACCCTACTTTGAGGGTGCTCCCTTTCCCCACCCACTATGGCTGAGGAACACCTACCAGCAGTGGGTGCCTCAGCCCCCCCCCAGGACCATCAAGCGGACCCGTAGGCGACTATCCCGCAACCGGGATCCTGGTAGACTCATTCTTAGCACCATACGTCTGCGGCCACGCCAAGTACTGTGTGAGAAGTGCAAGAGTACTGTGAGCCCTCAGGAGGCCAGTCCTGGCCCCCTGGCCACCTCCAGACCCCGCCGGCGGCTAGGCAGTGGCCCGGACAGTGAGCACCGGAAGCCAGAGGAGCCAGAGGACAGTGACTCCGTAGCTGCAGCCACCCCAAGGAGGAGCAAGAGGGAGAAGCGGGAAGAAGACAGGGTTCCTGGAGAGCGTGTTCCACGGAGCCCGGTCATCAAGATCTCCTATAGCACACCACAGGGCAAGGGTGAGGTGGTCAAGATCCCATCCAGAGTGCACGGCTCTGTGGAGCCCTTCTGCCCCCAACAGTCTCTTCAGAATGGCAGCCAGGACTTAGAGATAGTGAGGGATGTGGAGCCCAAGGGTGGTGGTGACCGACCACCCAGCGGGCATTCCATTCCCAAGCTGAAACTGACTCGCCCGGTGCCTCCTGTCTCAGACCTGCCGCCTCCCAAAATCCGCTTGAAGCCCCACCGGCTGAGGGATGGGGCGCATGAGCCTCTCTACAGGGCAGAGCTGGTAGAGGAGCTGAATGGAGGCCCACGAGGCCCCCTGGCCAGCTCTCCTGCTCTCTTTGCTGATGGCTCTACCCAAGGGCTGGAGGACTTGTCTTCTGGAAGTTCCGGTGAGGACGATGACCTCAAGAGGTGTCCTCAAGGCAAACACGGACGTGATAGCTTGGCTTTTCTCGTTGACTGCCCTGGGAGGAGAGCAGATTGTACCAGTGAGTCTGTCTGCAGCACCGACAGCCTGGATGAGATGAAATCATCTGGTTCAGAAGTGACGTCTCCAGACACAGGAGACCTGTCATCAGGTGACAGTGCCTCTGCTCCTTCATCTTCTGCTGACACTCGCCAGACAGTCCCTCCCCTCACGGTCAGGCTGCACACGCAGAGTGTCTCGCAATGTGTGACTGAAGATGGAAGGACGGTGGCTGTAGGGGACGTTGTGTGGGGTAAGATTCATGGTTTTCCTTGGTGGCCAGCACGTGTCCTTGACATCAGCCTTGGCCAGAAGGAGGATGGAGAGCCCTCTTGGCAAGAAGCGAAAGTCTCATGGTTTGGGTCTCCAACTACATCATTCTTGTCTATTTCAAAACTGTCCCCTTTCTCTGAATTTTTCAAACTGAGATTTAACCGTAAGAAGAAGGGGATGTATCGGAAAGCTATAACTGAGGCTGCCAATGCCACACAACATGTGGCCCCAGAAATAAGGGAGCTCTTGACCCAGTTTGAAATGTAACTTTGCTTCCGGGAGCAGGTGAGTGTTGTGTCCACTTGGTGCCTGCTGTTCCCAAAGCAGTGATCCTGAGCTTGTATCAGCATCCAGCCACCAGAGAGCCAGACTTTGGTCCTGATGCTCAGCAGGGGCTGTCCTAAACACTAGTGCCCTCACTGATGTTGTCCCTGGAGCCCATACATCCCCGCAGAGGTGCTTTAGAGACTCTGATTATCGGGTGTGTGTTTTCGTTTGAGTTTGCAGCCAGTTAATCAAAGGAAGCCCTCCCTATGAGTCTGCTAGGATTTTAGAGAAAGGGATGCAGTTTGCCTGACTCGGGTAAAGGGAGAGCAGGACAGAGGGCAGGCCATCATCTTCTCTCACTCTGAGGGAACTTCTTTTACTCTCTTCCCTAGTAGCCTTCATCCTCTTCACTAATTGCCTTAAAACTCCTGCTTATGGGTGTGTATGCGGTGGTGGCCAGGCATCTGACTGGCAGGGAGGAGCCGGACATAGCAAGGAGAGCATCCTACCTCCAGTGGAGCTGGTCTCAGCTCCTCAAGCGGGCCGTTCCCTTCGGCAGGCTCCCTCCCTCCACTTGCAAGGGTGTTGGCTCCTGAATGGTTCTGAATGCAGTGTGTCCAGGTGCACCCAGCTTTGAGTGGTGGGTGCTCCATATAGTGTCTTGATCTCTCATAGGACAACTCTGTAGTTTAGTAGTCAATCCTCAGATGGACTATCTAGGGTCTGGGCATTGCAGCATGCGTGGTAAGGGAGTGTCATCGTCATTCAGGCTAGTGGGGCATCGTGGGGTGTGGTCACATGGAGTAGGGACAATCTCTGGTGGATCTGCAGCCACCATGTGGGGAGTCTGGAAACATGAGGGGTACAACCAACTTGCACTTCTCAGTGGCCATGCTCACATCTGATAGCCACTTGCTGCTGTGACTGCCTGGCCCTGGTGCTGACTCTACAGAGGTCTGGCCCAGGGCTCTCTTCTTGGCTCCAAGCAGCTTCTTTGTTTTTTTGTTTTTTTTTTCTTAATCCTTGGCTTAATGTGATCAAATAGTACAGAGACTTGGAGGTTGGGTCAGGTGACTATACTCAGAAGACAAGAGCAGTGCGTCTACCTCCAGTCAGACCCCTGACTTGATCCTAGTTCCTTCAGCGACTTGTCTGCCTATGCCACTTGCTCACTCCACCATTCTGGCGTGGTGCTTTCTCAGAGGACATCTTTTCTTCAGTCTTCCAGGCCTTAGCAGAGCCAGGTGATGCCTGGTTCAGGAGGAGTCTGGGATACCTCTCAAACCTGCTCACTGCTCTCTAGTTGTGTTGGAGGTGCCAGGAGAGGAAGCAATACTGGGGGTGGGGGGCAGGCCTTGGGGCCAGTTCTCAGGCTGCTCTGGCGTCTACCTCCTCCACTGGTTCCTGATTGTGTATAAACATCTCTTTCTCTACACAAGCAAGCTAATTTCTCCTCAGTTTTGGGACCTTGTGTGGGATGAGGCTGGTACAAACAGGCATGGTGGCTGTGATAGCAGCCTCTGCATCTCTCTCTCTCTCTCTCTCTCTCTCTCTCTCTCTCTCTCTCTCTCTCTCTCTCTCTCTCTCTCTCTCTCTCTCTCTCTCTCTCTCTCGTCTCTCTCTCTCTCTCTCTCTCTTGGTTTTTTAAAATAGGGTTTCTTAATGTAACAGCCCTCACTGTCCTGGAACTTACCTTGTAGACCAGGCTGGCCTTGAACTCACAGAGATCCCTGTGCCTTTGCTGGGATTAAAGGCGTACACCACCACGCCTGTCATCTCTGTATATCTTAGGGCAGGGCATCCATCAGGCTAATCAGAGAAAGGTCAGCTGGCTTGCCTTGAGTCCCCATCCTGTATCTTGCCTATAGTAGAACCTCAGCTGCAGCCAAGCCCAGTCCTGGCACATTCCCCACCTGGCCTTGCCTTGCTGGGCCCTCCCCACTCTTCCCTGCCTTGACTGTTCAGCAGCTGGTCAGGGAGCTGTTTGGCTGGAGGCGGTATGGATGAAGGCTGAGAGCCCCCCTCATGTGCCCCAGTTATGTGGCGTAAACCCAACTCCTGGTGAGAGATGGATGGAGTCTAGTCTGACTTTCAATTCCCACCATAGCAGCTGTGTAGACCCAGATGGTGACTGGAGACGCCTATCCAAAGACCCCTGGGCTCTGGAAGCCCAGCCAGGCCTTAGCTGCCCTTTGGAGAATGCAGCCTTGTAGGTTCTGGGCCGGAAGCAGAGGGAAAAATCTCACCCAACTGGTTTGCCTGGCCCCAGGTCCTGTGCCGTGCCTGGACCAACATGCACCCAGCAGCCCTTTGCTTTCTGGGAGTGTAGAGCATTGGGTCTCTATAGCAGCAAAGTGCTCAGTGGTGCTTGTCTGGCTGGTGTTTTGGTTTTGTAAGGACTTTATAAACATGGAGAGGAGGCTCCTGCCAGGCAGGTCAAGTGCTCATCAGTGATCCGAGCTGGTGTTTGCAGCTAGAACCTCCTGCTGTATGAATTGGGGTCCCCTGGTAGACAAATGTGCTTTATATTGGAGTTAAGCCCTTTCAGCTTGCACAGGCGGAGAAACAGGCGATCTGGCCCTCTCTAAGCAGGAGCTGTTGAAATGCTGACGGGGATTCAGTGAAGGGCATAATTGCTGGCCTGGACATTTGAGAACAGGAAGCTGCCCCAGGAGAGAGCTCAGGTAGGAGAGGCCTGATGGAGAGGAACGGCTTCCAGGTCCAGCTCACTGGCACGCCATATCTGGCCCCGCACCTGCCTGAAGACAGCTGTGACTGGACAGCAGTTCTTCAGGGTCTGGGAGTGTCTGTGCCATTCTCACATGTGTTGGGAGCCATCACAGGAAGCACAGCCACACGTTCCCTTCCAAAGGCACTGAGCTCAGTGCCCCACCCCTGAGAGACCCTGTACTCATCTTGATGAAGGTCTGAAGACCAGCTGAGAGGGCTCGGGTGGGCAGGGGGTGTCCTGGCCCTTATCAAGGTCTTTCCTGGGACATGGTATCATTTGTGTCAGACTCGATGACTATTTCAAGTAAGTGTTGATCACAGTGTACAGACTAGGCTGCCCCCACTCCACACGTACACAGGAATCTCAGTTAATTCTTGTCTGCCACAGGGTGGCAATGGCACCTGTCTTGTGGGTGAATGAGGGTCATAGCAACACTGTAGGCTTAGGAATGAATTTGTAGGTAGCTGCTTTTGGAAGTGACCACCATACCTTCTCTAGGCACCAGGGGTTGTTTACCCAGGGGTTCTGGTGTGAGTTTAGTGACTTGGACAAGAAGCTCTTGGGATTCTTGTATGGAAGTGGGGCCCTGCCCATGCTGCTGCCTGGAGCCCTGTAGAAGCTGACCAGCCAACTTTGGCCTACATAATGAGTGGGTACTCCCCAAATGGAGGACTTGGCTTTACCTACCTCCCAGACCAGCAAAGACTGAAAAGGGCTGGTTTGAGTCTGTGGGGACACCAGACCTTGAGGCCATGATACTTCCTCTACAGTCCCTGCTACTGTCTTCCTCCTCTAGCTGGTGTGTCTGTTACCCACCCTCCAAATACTCAATTGGATATGGGCTAGCAGAATGGGTAGAATCCTGGAGACATCCGTGAGTCACAGTTCCCAAATTAGCATGTCATAATCACACAGGCATGCTCTGGGAAGGAAGGGACAGGGACTTGAAGCAGATCATATGGTGGGAACCCAGACCTACACCGTTATCTGGAGAAGGTGACTTGAGATCTAAATGGGGCATAAGGGATTGTGGGAGGCAGTTCCAGGGCGGACCCTATTCCAGGTGGTACAGACTCTGGCCTGACCCCACAAACAATGGTGCCTGTAATACAGGACTCAGAGCAGTGAGCAGGCCCAGTCATTTGTGCTGAAACAAGCTAAGGAAGGTGGGCAATGTATGGTGTTAAATCCTCAGACAAGAGGGTGCTACCTCTCCCTGACCAACGATACTGACCTCAGGGTGACCCCAGTGGGCTAATGGAGGTGACAATGTGCCCAAGGACTGGCTTAAAGTGTCTCTAGTGGAAAGCTCAGAGCCCTGGTACCACAGGCTAAAGGTGAAGGGCTTTCAATATGACATTGGTAGGGACAGTACTGTGGGAGACAGAGTAGGAAGGAGGACCTTGCTGTGGCAGGAAAGGCTCTATTCAGGGCCTCGGTGGGCAGGGATGTGGTGGGAGTGATAAGAGAATGGCACCATGGAAGCAGGAAGAGGGTCCAGGAGAGAGTGAGCTGACTACCCCCAGGACAGAAAGCCATATAGGGTCAGAGCGGAAGGCTCAGGGCTGACAGCAATGGGATGGACCCTTGCCCACCTGGTACCGCAGTGCTCTTAAGAGATACAGCATCCCTGCCCTGGTATTCTGGGAGCTACAACGCTTGGTGGTGCCTCTCTTCTGCTTTCTGGAATATCCAGGCCATCTGTGGACAGAAGCACAGAGTTGGCAGGTAGCCAACACAGTGGCCTGGCTGCGGCATGGACTGGAAGTTATGTCACCTCCCTACAAGGAAGATGTGGTACCATCCCAGGACAGTAGAGACATCACAGACCCCAAACATGGGAGCATCCAGGCCCCACCTTTGAGTGGCCAGGCTGCTTGGTTGAAAGCTTTCCCAGGGAGCACAGCACACCCATGCCCTGGACGTTCCCCTTTCCTGGGCTGTCATCCTCCCTAGAGTCAGTTTGTTCTGTGGCCATGGCAACAGACTGCCACAAAATATGGCCTACAAACACCCCCATGTCCTTTGGAGTTAGAGGCCTGAAAGCAAGGGTTGAGCCCAGCTGGGCTCCCTCTGAAAGCTGGGGAGGGTAGCCAACTCTCCAGCTCCTGGTGGCATCAGGTGCTCCTGACTGTGGCAGTGCACTCTAGTTTGCCTCCATAATCTTGGAGCTTCCTCCTCTTTCTCAGTGTGGTATCATAAGCTGCCCTTCTGACAAGGACCCATAATGGCATAGTTCAATATACTCATCTCAGAAATATCTAATTGGGTTATGTCTTTACAAGTATATCCTAGAAGGTGACATGCCCAAGTTCCAGAGGCTAGGGTCTAATACTACCCACCTCTTACTCATCCCCTTCAGTCAACATTCATACTGTTCATCAGAGTACCTGCACACACTGATTGCCTGTGCCCAGCCTCTTATGTAGCAGACAGAAGACTGAGCTTCAAGGATAGACTGGCCCAGGACCCACAGCGGCATCAAGGGCCACTGCCTCTATGCCTAACACCAGCCTGATTGTACAGTAGCACCTGCAAAGAGCCATTATGTTGTGGAGCTCCAGGGGGTCTGTGCTGTGAGCGAAGGAACTGTTGTTCCAGAAAGATCCGTCTGTGAAGACATCTGCCAGTTCAGGGAACATGATGGCCCCTTTTGCCTTCCTGCTTCTTGATGTTTATTTCTCCTGGGAAAGTAGATATTCATCAGGATCCAGTCTATCGCGGGTGCTAGAGCACTGTGCCTGCTGGGTGGAGAGGGGAGCATGCCCCCAGACCCGCCCACATCATCACAGTGTCTTCCCCATGCAGTCTTTGGACAGACTCCTTAGTGGAACGCACCAAACCAACTCCTTCCAGCACTTGTGCTTCCCCGTGGGTTCTCAGCTGACTTCTGCGTTGCTTTCAGGGAATTCAGGTTCTCTGGGAAGGTTGTAATTATTTTGTTCCAGAAGGAAACTAAGGACTATAATTCTAGGTCTTCTATGGGGACTTAGGCCTTCCCACCCACTGGCTCCCGGTGGCCTGTTCCTGCCACTGCCACTGCCACTGAGTATCATGTGAGAACCTGCAGGCAGGCAGGCGGGCAGGACAGTTTAGGGGCGCTGAGAAACAGCAGGTGTGAAAGTGTCTGGGACATGAGGGGCTCTTTCCAGAACTTCTGAATGTTTGAACTTGTCTGAACCTTTTGGGCCAAGGACTGCCTGTTTTCTGTTGAGAGGTCATGGTCCTAACACCCATCTCTGTATGTTAGTTCCTGACCCCACCTGCTTTGGGCTTCATCTCATAGACCCCTCCTTGGACTGCCCCTCAAGAAGCCACTCTCTTTGGTAGGTTAAGGTTGTGACTTGAGGCTGCTGTCTATAGAGACTATTTCCAGTCCCTACCACTTATGGTGGTCTCAAGGCTCACCTAGTCACTGGTGAACTGACTGTGTCATCCTTCCCGAACCATGCATGTTCTACCCCCTCAGTCTCAGTGGCTATCCAGCAAGGCCTGGCTGAACAGTGGGTAGATTCGTGACAGACTAGCAGGGCAGATGCCCAGTGAACCATGAGCTACATCCCAAGCCAGTGTTTCCTAACAGCACAGTGCTGTGAACATGCCCCATTGCTTGCAGCCAGCGAGAGTCCTGTGCCGCTGAGATTGCCCACCCTAAGTCACTTGTCCCATCAGCCCCAGGCCTTCAGTGACCACGGCATCTCGTGGCAGCCCTGTTTCCTGCCACATCCAACATCTCACTCTGGTACTCTGTACACTTTCTGGTCAGGCCTGAGGCCCTCACAGTTCCTGAGAACCCAGGCCTGGGTCCAGGCTGCTCGTTGCTCCTGGCTTGCTCTTGCTCCTGAGCTGTTTATTAGCTTCTGGTAATGGGAATTATTTTTTTTATAGCAAAGCTCTAACTCCTAATGGTATTATAATAATGCAGTTACTAATTTTGTATATGCAAAACATGATTTTTCTTTACTGTATTATAATATGATAGTTTTAGGGTATAAGACCACTAATGCCATCCATCAGGAGGGCTGGCCACCAAGATTGCCCCAGTGATAACACAACAGTCTAGGACCTCCACATTCCTGTGTTTCAAAGGCCTTGAGGACAATTCCTGTCTGAGTCAAGTTGTGACACAAACATGACAATACAAGTTTACTTCATTTGCATTCATTACTGGATTTTAAAAATCTAGTTGTGTCTTGAAATGCTGTGAGATTGGCATCCCTCATGGTCCCCCCTGACCCGCTAGAGTTGGCATCCTAGTCTGGGAGGCTTGTCCCTCTGATTTTTGCACAAGCAAGTTCATAAACACCAGCTCAAGAGTTGAGCAGCAGCAAACAGCAACTATGTCCTGTCCTTTCTCTGGTGAGCCGAAGGGTGAGCCCTCTAGGTTTCTTAGCTATGGGGAAGACTGAGTCTGGGTAGAGAGGTGCCCCAAGCTTCAGGGTTGGATGGGCTGGGGTAGGATAAGGCTGATGTTCTGCAATTATCTGGGGAGGCCTGGTGTTCTAGGGTGTCAGCAACCCAGAGCAGCTAAGCTGCTCTGCTGTGCTGGTCACAGTGCTGGTAAGGGGCCAGCTCCCTGAGAGGAGGAGGGGAAAGGCTTCTTTGAAGGCCACGTTGTAGGACAAAGAGAGGCTGGAAACTACTCCTCAAAGCTTGTCCTTTTCCCCAATGAAGGTTTCTGCTGCTGGGTGTTTACAGGCGTTTTGTTTTTTGGTTTTTTCGTTTTGTTTTTTGCAGTAAAGCATGGCCTCAATATGAGCCCCTTTCAAACCTTAAAGTACTCATTAGAAGGGGCAGAAGTGGGTTTTACTCATGCTACCCACCCACTCCCACCTATACATGTTACATCTGCACAGATCTAGCCAGACCTTACAGGCATGCCAAGGCCATTCAGAGATCTGGGATTCCCCACCCTCAGTGGCTATCTCTCCTCACATGTGTTCCAGGCTGGATGGAGGTCAGCCTGTGGGACCAGGGTAGGTCAGAATGTTGGGCACCAAGTGGGTTGTGTGGTGTATTTATGGGCCACCTGCCCTTTGCTGCTGGGGTGATGGGAGAGGCTCCTTGCCCCAGATCCTGTTTGCATGTGGCTTTCTAACATGCATCTTGATGAGTTGAATTCCTCCTTTGATTCTTATGAGCCTTCAGAGGCCCAGACAGCCAAGGTCCTTGAGGTCCTGCAGATTGATGACCTGCTGCAATTGCTCAGTGTGTACATGGAGGCATGCACACAAACATGCCCATGCATGTACATGACCAGAGGATCCCTTTGTGCCGTCTGCAGTGGGATCACAGGGAGTTGCCACACCCATCTGGGTACTGTGGCTCCAAATTCCAGTCCTCAAATTTGCACAGCAAGCCTCTGCAGCTCCTGTCTTCCAGGTTCTTTCAGGTTAGACATTCCCTATAGCCTTTTTCCTATGGGAGATGGGGATTTTGTGTCCTTTGAGCATTCTTCCCTGTCAACACGTACAGAGTTTTAGCTTGCTGAACGAGAGACGGTGTTTGTGTGAGTAAATGGCACCCCTCGTGTAGATCATGAAGGATTCTGCTCCCCAAAGTTGGCTATGGCCCTACTTCCTGTCTGATTTGCTTTATAGTCCTGCTGCCTGCAAATCTGCAGCTCTGAAAAGAAGTTCTTCAGTGCTTCAGACATGTTAGGTATCCATTTTAGCTTAAGACTGCTGAGTGGACACATCTCTCCAAAACACTTCAGCTAAGCACGATGCTTACAGATATCTGTGCTCATTGGGTAGCCGCCACGGTCAAGCTTGGAGCTGCAGAATGACTGTATCCATAAGCCAGAGACACAGGGGCTGGTGCCACACCCTCTCTCCCTCTACACACATACTCACCGTCGTCATCTATTCTCAGGTCTGCCCTCGCTCAGCCTAGGGGCAGAGGACATGTTGTGGTGAATGGGGGACTTGGGGGCTCCCTGTGCAGTGAGCTCATTGCTGGGACAGCAGACTATCCTCCACAGTGTTCCAGTGTTTGACCCTCCTACTGGACTTGGTTGATCGAGTGATCAAAGCCTCCTATATAAGACCCTCTACTTTCCTCAGGCATGGCTAAGCCATAGGCACCAGAAGTTGTGAGAACAAGGAAGGTATGGTTCACCGGCCTGGTGAGGGCTGGTGGGGAGACTGAACAGCCATTAGAGTCTCTGCAAAGCCATAGAGCCCAAGGGAGACGGGTGAGGAGACACTGATACAAACATGGACATGCTTGAACCTGCTAGGGTCCTGTTCTCTATAACTGACCGCTTGGTAACATCTACCTTTTCTGCTTCTCCCAAGGTCACCGGCAATGAGGACGGAGCTGCTGTCTTGGAACTTCCATCCAAGTGGCCCATGTGCCTCTCTGGCTGGCTGTGTGCAGAAACATGCTGGGCACAGTGCTCGGCCTGACTCCGGGTCCCCAGAGGAGCAGGTGTGCTTGGGGAGGGGCCAAACTCAGGTCACCTGGCTCCTCTCAACTGAATGTGTCTGTTCCCACGATTCAGGCTTCAGCATTCCTAGCTGAGAAGTGTCCTGGAGCTGCAAGGCTTAGGTACCCTCAGACAGAAGCAGAACCTTCTGCCCAGCCTGTGAGGCTTCTAAGTGGGTGCTGGGCGTAGCTACAGGACACCCTCCTGGGCCTGGCCTCGGCTGTTGAGCTAGAGCCACTCTGCAGGCCTGAGGATTGCACGTGTGGGCTTCTCCTTACCCAGCCCTTGGGTGTAGGCTGTCTGTGCACTTGAGCCTGGAGCCCAGTTGCATCTCTTCCACACTCCACTCAAAGCACGGGTCCCTGGGCTCCCAGCCCTGGCCTGTAAGGCCGCCTAGATCTGAGATGCTGCTATGTCACCTACTGTGAGGGGGAGAGAGGGGGAGGGCAGAACTGAAAACAGGCCTCAGGTTAGGACATACCAGCTCTGCCCTGTGAGGCCACATTCCTTTCCCCTCTGTCACTTTCAAGACCAAAAAGAAAACAGAAAGAAATGAAAACCGTCTCTGCGCCTTTGTTTAAGCATGAAGAGGAATAAACAGGAGTCTGCTGCCCGAATAGCCTCACAACTGCACTGCCTGATCTGTGAGAGAGGCTGCAGTCCCCTAATGGGGTGAAGAGGGGCTACGGCCAACCCCTGTGGAGGTGGTACTGTGTCCGTTGTATTGCTTACCGGCAGTCACCTGATGGGATCCATATCTGAAACAAGCGCCACTCCTTGTTCTAGGTGGTGGTTTCAGCCCCCTGCCTCAGGCCTCCCTCCTGGTTTTCTGGTGTACCCTAAGTCCCTCAGGCAGAGGCTTGGGCATGGAATGGTGTGGCTCTTTCTTCCTAAGAAGCCTTCCATCTCCTTTTCTCCCTTTGCTCAATCGGAGCTAGAGGATGCCCTGAGATCTCGGTAGTGGCTTTTCTTGTTCTGATTTTAATGGAAAGTATTCTGGGTGTTGGGGGTGCCATAGCCGTCAGGAGGAACCTGTGGCCAAGGTGGGAGCACTGGATGTCTTCAAGGGCTTCTCCAGGCACTGGAGAGGGAGCTTGCTGCAGATCCATTCCTGATCAGCCCAGGGCTGTTCTCATGGTGCCCTGAGGTTCTGGAGTTGGGAGAATGTTTTCCCAGCTTTTTGTGGCAGCAAAGCCTTCTCCACAGTCAAGCCCTCCAGGAAGAAGTGACACCAGATACTTGTCCCTAAGGCCCTAAACACACACTCTATTTTGAGGGTCTCCCCCCACCAGCCTGGAGTCTGTCACGTCCGAAGGGATGTGTCTTGGTGATTGGCAGATTCTGGGGTTCCTCCATGGCTAGAGGTCTGGTCCTGAGAACCTTGGAAAACGCACACATAGAAGTGGGGACCTTAGCCAGGCGTTGGTGACACACACCTTTAATCCCAGCACTCGGGAGGCAGAGGCTGGTGGATCCCTGTGAGCTCGAGGCCAGCCTGGTCCACAGAGGGAGTTCCAGGACAGCCTCCAAATCAATACAGAGAAATCCTGTCTCGAAAAGCCAAAAAAAAAAAAAAAAGGGAGGGACCTTGCGTGAGAGGGGCTTTGGAGAATGAGCACAGCCAGCCTTGCCTATGTCTCCCTTCTCCCTCGTTCTGAGAGGGGGGTGGAAGAGCTACCCACATCTGTTTCCTGGGCATGGCCTCCCCACCGCTGTCCTACAACCTAGTAAGAGTGAGTTGCAGCCTCTGGCCAACCGGGGCCCTGCAGCCACGTGCTGTACCACATCCTTGCCTGCTGTTCTTCCTCTGGGGGTTCCCCAGGAAAGGCTGAGCTGGGGGAATTCATGCTTCCAATTATCTTGAGCCAAGTGGTCCCTGCCATCTGGGGCCTGGGACAGAGGTTTGTCTCTTCAGGAGGCCTGATCTGCTGGGCACGGGGTGGGGCTATATCTGAAACAAACAGAACCAAGTAGACTGTGTGTGCTTTGTGGAGTGCATTGCACACCTTCAAGAGCGTAAGTCCAGAGCCAGGTGCAACAGGCAGAGGACCTAACAGTGGCGTTCAGGCTAGCCAGGGCTACATAGTGAAACCCTGTCAAAAAAAAAAACAAAAACAAAAACAACAAACAAAGAAGACCAGGAAAGGCCACTGGCACCCAGCCCCAGGCTCTACTGAGGACTAAAGAAACAAGTCAGCATGATGTGTGAGCTGCATAACCTGAAGACACCAATAGCAACTCAGAGGGGGCTGGCTCTGCCCTCTGCCCATAGCTGTCTATAGCAACTCAGAGGGGGCTGGCCCTGCCCTCTGCCCATAGCTGTCTATAGCACCCACATATAGCACTCAGGTCCTGGCTGAAGCCTGTAGGGCCTGAAGAGGGGAAGACTGCCTTCCTTAAAATAGAAGAGGAGTTCCCTGTGCAGTCTGTCTCCAGACACCCTCTTTTAGCCCCATCTGTTGGGAAGGTCCTGTCCTAGGGGCCCAGTGTCTCTGCTAAGGGAGCTTAGGCCCAGGAGCACCTGCTGCTGGGTAGCTCTTAGCCACACACAACCTTTACTAGGCCAGAGCTGCTGACAGGATTTAGGCCAGTGACAGTGGCATGGACTGGTATCTATGAAAAACATCAAACTGTAACCAAATAAAAGCACACACACACACACACACACACACACACACACACATTAAAAAAACAAAGAAACAGGCAAACAACCCCCAAACTGTGGCATTTATTGGATGTTAGTCAACTACTCCTGAACATGAGGCTTGCCCTTTTTAAGAAGTATGTTGGTGCTTGCTTAGTCTGACTTCACAGCAGTGCACAGGAGCTGGGGGATGTGGGGGTGGGAGAGAGGGAGAGGGCAAGGCCCTCCCTTACCTGTAGGTTGACCTTAATGGAGGGGTCCCCAGAAGGTGAGCCCTGACTCTTCTGAACAACTCTCAGGGTGACCCTCCTCCTAGTCCTGGTGAATCACCCCTTGGAGACCCTGACACCTAGAACACTTAACACAGCAGGCCTCTGTGTAGTCGGTGGTGGCAGGCCATTCCATGCGCCTCTCACTACCCACCTGCCCTGGGTGCCATGCTCTGCTCTGGCTCAGGTGACAGACACTTGATGGCCTCCGGGCCCTGCTGCCAGCACTTTTGTCTGATACACAGACAGGCTATCCAAGGTTGATAGCTCTCATTCTGCTCACTGTCTGGTAGGAGGGGGCGGGGAGCTCCCAGAGAGACGACAGGAGCAAACACTTGGATTTCAGGTACTAGCCAGGCGTGTGGGGAGTGTGTCCTGTGTGAATTTTGAAAGACAGGCAGAGAGAGCTGGTTCTGAGCTCCTCCCACTCCCATTGACTCCAACAAGAAAGGGCTGATCCACTTAGAACAGAAATTGGCTGGGTCTCTGCAGTCGTCCGCTGCAGAGTGGCACCACAGAAGCTCTAACACCTTCACCTTCAGAGGCAGGTGGCATGAGTGGGGCTCTAGCCATGTGGGGCTGCAATCCCTTCCCAGCACAGTGGCACCCTGAGAGCAGACTTATTCCACCAATCATCCAGCGTCCTTCATGTGAGCAGCTGTGACATGGTCCTCCCCTTCTACAGCCAGCGTTTGCTCCACCATCCCCTCTTTCCACCAGGATTGGCCAGCAGTTATGTCTTGAGCAGCCTGATGATCTGAGCAGCCTGGATGGAGCGTGACATGGAGGATCTGTGGCAGAGCCCCGAGTAATGGAGTCTCAAGCATACACAGTTCAGTCACTTGCCTCCCCAACCCCCACCCCTGCCTGAGCTGCTTCTACTCAGCCTACCAAACTTCTACTCCCCCTGCACGTCCAGGTTGCAGCCAGGACATGTCCTTACCTGTGGGCTCAGATGGCCCTGGAGGCTGTTGGTGCTGAGACTGTAGCGATGTGGGGCAGGATGAGACTGGACAACAGGGCTTCTGGCCCCAGGACAGACCTGACCTGGCTCTCCATTCCTGGCGCCACCCCAGCTACCCCTATGCACATGCATCTGTTTAGCCCTGCAGCCTAGCTCTCTCGGGTCTACTGGCTAAGGAAGGAGGAGGAGGTGGGAGGCAGAGTCATTCCTGTGGGCTGGACACATGGTTACACCGTGGGTCCCACATCAAGCCTGAGGCCCTATACTATAACTGTAAAAAGGGAGGGCTTAGGCCCCCCCAACTAGCCCCTGGTGTCTGTCCACTGAGAAGGAAAGCCCCCAGTCTGGACACTTCCAGATGCTGCCAAGTGGTGCCACACCCTGTGTGGTTTATGCAGGACCTCTCTTTCTCTTACTCTGAAGTAACCGCTGTTTGTGGCAGAAAATTAGTAAAATAAAGTAAAAGAAGATAAAAGTATATGGGCTCCACCCACATGTGCCTTGCTCCCCCTTAGCAGAGTCTTCTGGCATTCACAGATGTTTGCTCTTCGGATTTGGCCTCCTGCCACCAAATAGCTCCGCCTGGCTCTCTCTTCCATGTTCCCCATGTCTCTCCATGTCCTGGGATTCCCCCTGCCTGCCCAACTCCTGGGCTGCTTACAGTTGCCTGGTGTTTAATGGCATCTTGCCCCTCTGGACACTGCAGTAAGAGCAATGGCTTAAATGAGATTGCCTCCCATGGGAGCCTCCCCCTGCCCTGTCCCTGTCTGCCATGGAAAGGAGTGAGCCAGGAAGAGGGAAGGTACACACGGCAGAGCGCGCATACACACACACACACACACACACACACACACACACACACACAGGGCAGAGCACACACACACACACACACACACACACACACACACACACACACAGGTGGGGGTGAGCTGTCTGAATAGCTAGGTTGGGCCTTTCCCTGGCTGAAAGTGGCTGTCATCTGTTCAGGAGGGTTAAGCTGTTTTGTGCCCCAGAAACCCAAAGAAGCTTCCAGAGCTGACCAATGCCCAGCCAGAAGGAGGGGCTGTGGCTACAGGGGGGGGGGGGGGGGCTGCCCACAGGTCTGATCCGGGACCGACTTCCTCCTTCCACAGCCTCTGTAGGCTCAAGGAAGAGTCAGTGCCCCCCACCCCCACCCCGCCACTCCTAGGACTATGGCTACTGCTGTCACCAGCCCAGGCTCTCTTCCTGCCCGCCCCCTCTGGAGGCGCCAACCAGCCTCTGCCCCAGCTGGTTTATTTTTAGCTGCTGCCTGCCTGACACTGCCTTGGGTTTTACACTGGGATCTTCCTAGGGCGGGCAGGCCCTGACCACTGTAGGGCACAGGGAAGGCTTCCTTCCTTGTGATTCTAGGAAGTAGCAGGAAGAGTGGGATTTCTGACCTTCCTGATCAACCTGGAGTCAGAGCATGGGAGTGGGGCCCAATGAAGTCCATGGCAGAGCAGATTCGGTGTCCACAGCTGGAGGGGTCCATGGAGGCTGAGGAGCCGGTGTGCTCGTCTGAAGAGAGCAGGGAGGGGCAGTCACAGCCTGAGGCCTAGTCTGTAGGGCACAGGTGGGAACCAGAACTTGGAAACATAGAGGTCTGAGAGTGGACATTAGGACAGAGAGGTAGCTGCCCACAGAACAAAGGTCATGGATGA